TGTTTACCAAAACGCCCGGCAGCTTGCGCTTTGGTGAGCTGGGGACTTAGGATATTAAAATGTCATTTTTCTATGCAACTACCATGGCGCCAAGCGGCAGTGAAGGCCACCCAGACGGAACACACTTCTACACATAAAATGGATTTACACAAAAAATTTTACACATAAAAAAGAATTAGAGGGTGCTATGTTATGAGAAGCACCTGGAAGTTTCATAGTGGAAGAAGCCCCCCATATGTGGGCAGGAAGGAATCCGTGTCTCACTCTAAGTGCGGAGAATGGGAGGAAGGGAGCGGGTAGAGGAACCCTTCGGAACCTGGGGCGCCACGTTCCTGTTCGCCCCTATCCATCTCCCGACCTGAGCAGTCCTGGGAATGCGGAGACCAGCACCCTCCGCTGCACAGCTAAGATCACTGTGCCCAGGGACCCACGTACCAAGAAGCAATGCTGGTACCAGCTCTGCCCACCAGCTGGGGTTGCCAGGGGATGTGAAAGGATTCTGAGAAGGTAAAGCAATCTTCAGACATTGTTAGGATTGTTTTGTTATTTATTATCAGAAAACAGACATAAACTGAAGAGATGGACATAAAGCATTGGCTGTGTGATAGGTCTTTTTCAAACTCATGTTATCTGACACTTTTTAACATACATCGGCATTGACAGAAGTTCTTTCTCCAATAACTTTAGAAAGAAATCATGGCAGGGGGTATAAGTGTGTATATGGTAATCACGCATACAAGATCACCAGAGCCCAGAGTAGCCCCAACCCAGCCACCCAGCCTCAGGGATGGTGAATGAAGCCTTAGGGCCAGGGTCTGCCAGGCCACAGCGGAGTCACCTGTGAGGCTTCCATCTGCACATGGAGAGGAAGAGCTACAGGTCCCCAATCAACTTCTAATTACAGGAATCACTGGCTCAGTTCACGGCTCATCAATGATGAACTAGAAGAGGAAAGCTACTTGCTTATTTCCAAACAAACTACAGGGAAAAAAAACACATAAGAAGTGAGAAGTTTATTAAAGCAGCATGTTTTTTAAAAAGAAGTCTAATTTTTCTAGTTATTCTTTTTTAGTAAAGACAGGGTCTCATCATGTTGCCCAGGCTGGTCTCAAACTTCTGAGCTCAAGTGATCCTTCCACCTCTGCCTCCTGAAGTGCTGAGATTACAGGCATGAGCCACTGCGCCAGGCCGAGAAGTCTAAATTTAAAGGAATTGGGTCACAGGGTTCAGGCAGCAGCATGGATCTCTAGGATCTTCCAGAGCCAACCTAAACTTTCAAAAGAAACAATTTCTGTGCATCTATGTAGCATTTGCCAAAGATTGTTTTGACCTGTAGTATATAAATGTTTTGTTCTTAACTATTTTAATTTTAAAAATCATGTTTCCTATTCAAATAAGCCCAGAAAATACTGAATTAAAAATAAAGTGTCCTGATCAGGGCTTTGAACCTCCAAAAAGGAGGAGTCTAACATGAACATGCAATGTTCCATAAGCACATTCCATCATAAAACCCTTGTTTCCTGAAAAACCAATTTGAATTTCTGAGAACTAGTACTTTGAGCTATATTTTTTGAAGAACGTTATCCAATTCAATGGAACATGCAGGCCAGTGCGGACAAGCAATCAGGCTGTGGCACCAATGATTTCCTGGCATTTGAATAAAAACAGTCAGTAGAGGCTAGGCCCAGTGGCGCATGGCTGTAATTTCAGCACTTTGGGAGGCCGAGGTGGGAGGATCACTTGAGGTCAGGAGTTTGAGACCAGCCTGGCCAACATGGTGAAACCCTGACTCTACTAAAAATACAAAAATCAGCTGGGCATGGTGGTGCACACCTGTGATCCCAGCTAGCTGGGAGGTTGAGGCAGGAGAATCGCTTGAACCCGGGAGGCGGAGGTTGTAGTGAGCTGGGATCAGGCCACTGCACTCCAGCCTGGGTGACAAAGTGAGACTTTGTCTAAAAACAAACAAATCAGCCAGCAGAGTTTGGACGAAACAGTAGCAACAAGTCATGTCGAATACATGATGGGGAGGAGGAAGGATGCTCAAAGAGTTCATCAAAAATGTACAGTTAGGAATGCAAAGACCCCAAATTTGTCATTAAACCTTTTCAGGGACCTAGCTAGGCCTCTGTGCTAGGGTGTAGTCATCAATGTGGGACTCTCAATCTATAGAACAGGTTTCTGAAAAGTCATACGCAAATGAAGCATTATAAGCAAATAAGCCTGAAACACAAGAGAAGCAACCCTATATAAAATAGCTGCAGCACCACAATGGAACTCTTTGTAATGTGATTACAGCCCGGTGTGTGTTTGGGCAGCCCACACCTGTGCTTTGTTCTCCTTTGATCCTAACCACAGTCCTGGGAGAGGGTAGCCCCAGAAGTTGAGCGCCTCAAAAACTGAGAGAATTGCTTACTGCCTTCCTCATTTTACAGGTGAGGAAGGTGAAGCACAGAAAAGTCAAGTGAGACTGGGCGCGGTGGCTCACGCATGCAACCCCAATGCTTAGGGAAGCTTGGGCAGAAGGATCACCTGAGCCCAGGAGTTTGAGACTAGCCTAGGCAACATAGCGAGACCCCATCTCTACAAAAAAAATAGAGCACTTAGCTGGCCACACCTGTTGTCCCAGCTACTCGGGAGACAGAGCCAGGAGGATTGCTTGAGCCAGGGAGGCTGAGGGTGCAGTGAGTTATGACAACACCAGGACACTTCAGCCTGGGTGACAAGTCAGACCGGACCTCAAAAAAAAACAGCCTGGGTGACAAGTGAGACCCGACCTCACGCAAAAAAAAAAAAAAAAAAAAAAAAAAAAAAAAAAAACCATCCAAGCGACTTTTTCCTTTAAATTAGAAAGACAAAGTTCTCATATGCAGTGTTAAAGATTTTTGTTAAACTACTGTTAATTCTATATGTCAAAACTTTTTTGTAGCTTCAGAAAACTGGGAATGCTACTTTAAAAAGAGATGAGAAAACAGCTATTGAAAAGCTGATTTTATTATGCGTTAAAAGTAATGAAAAATCAGTAAATGTGTTATTACTCATCCTGAGGAGCTGGAACAGAAGAGCTGAGAGAGTGTCCAAAGAATGCCAATGGCAATCCTGAAACAGACTACCCAAAGCACCCGCTTACCTAGAGAAAGCGGATCTCATGAGTAGCTTACATGTTTTTATACAACATTTACCGCGGTGTGAACTCCAGCAAATTCCTATCGCCCCTCGGTCTCAGATACCCTGGGCCTGCAATGCCAGGGACCCCTTGGCACAGGTGCCCAGAGACACAGCATGAAGGGGCTGCCATGCTTCGGGCTGGGCAAGCTAACCCACTTCTAGCCACAGCAGCCTAGGCCCAGAACTAAGTCCTGATCCAAAAGGAGGCACCCTGGCCTTCGGGGTCTGCTTTGCGTGGGAGAGTGACTGTGGCAACAGAGCCTGGGGTAGCTCCTGAGCCCCACCTCCTGGTACTTACGTGGGCCTTTGTGCAATTCTCTCCCCTCTAGTGTGGGCGGGACCTGTGACTCACCTCTCCTTCTAACCAATAGAATACGGCCAGTGTGATGAATGGCACTACATCTTGACTACATTATGTTACAATTTGCTGGCCATGAAGAAGGCAATTGCCATGTCATGAACGGCTGTGGGGAGGGCCACAGGTCAGGGAACCATGGGAGGCCCTAGAAACAGAGGGCAGCCTCCTCTAACAGCCAACAAAAAACTAAAACTGACTATTTATTTATTTTTGAAATGAGTCTCACTTTGTTGCCCAGGCTGAAGTACAGTGTTGCTGTCTCGGCCCACTGCAACTTCTGCCTCCCAGGTTGAAGCGATTCTCCTGCCTCAGCCTCCCGAGCAGCTAGGATGACAGGCACCTGCCACCATGCCCTGCTAGTTTTTTTGTATTTTAAGCAGAGACGGGGTTTCGCTATGTTGGCTGGGCTCGAACTCCTGACCTCATGATCTACCCGCTTCAGCCTCCCAAAGTGCTGGAATTACAGGCATGAGCCACCACACCTGGCCTAAAACTCACTTTTATAGCTGCAAGAAATTGAATTCTGGGAGCTTGGAAGTGTGTTCTTCCCCTGCCGAGCCTCCAGAGAAGAGTGCCCAGCTGACACCTTGGCTGCAGCCTTGTAAGACCCAAAGCAGTGGACCCAGCTAAGCAGTACCCACATTCCTGACCCACAGAAACTGTAAGATATCATCATAAATATGTGCTTTCTGAGCCACTAAATTTGTGCAGCAAGAGGTAACTAATACATCGACCAAGCAAGGATGTCCAATGTTCCGACATTGCACTTGACGTGTACAATCAGTCAGCAGTCACAGCAGCAGAGCAGACGTGGCAAATGCAAGAGGAGGTGCTGAGTCACAGAGGAGCTGCTGGCAGGGAAGAGAACGCCGGGTGCCTGGCCTCATGGGGGCAGGGGACAGCCTGTTCACCGGAGTCCTGAGGCATCCTGCACGACATTCCAGTCCTGCGTGGGGCTGGCTCTCACAGGCACCCTCCCCCCATTCACTTCCTTTCTATAAACCTGCTCATCTCTCTGCAGCCTCTGTGTCGGTGCCATGAGCCTTCCAGTCACCTGCTGGGGACACCTGGAAGTCACTGTGGATCCCTCCTCTTTTAGCCTCATCTATCATAAAGTTTTTCTGATTTTATTTCTTAAACATTTCTCAACTCCAAACCCTTCTTTGTTATTCCTGGGCCACTGCTCAAACCCTCATCTTCAAATATCTCCGTTAGCCAAGTGCAAGAGTCGAAGTGAGCGCACTTTCTCTAGCCTTGTGTTTAGACGTGTGCCCCACCCAAATCTCACGCTGAAGGTAATCCTCGGCGTTGGAGGCAGGGCCTTGAGGAGGTGACTGTCATGGGGGCGGAGTTTACACGAATGGCTCAGCACCATCCTCTCAGTGCTGTCCTCACGACGTTCTCATGAGATCTGGTGGGTTAAGTGTGTGGCTCTTGGCCCTTCGTGCTCTTGCTCCTGTTTTCACCATGTGACTTGCCTGTCTGTTTCGCCTTTCGCCCTGAGTAGAAGCTCCCTGAGGCCTCCCCAGAGGCAGATGCTGCCAGGCTTCCCGTATAGCCTGCAGAACCTCGAGCCAATTAAACCTCTTTTCTTATGAATTACCCAATCTTAGGTATTTCTTTATAGAAATGCAAGAATAGCCTGACACACACTCTTATTAAAATATTGCTAGTGGACGGCCAGGCACATTGGCTCAGGCCTATAATCCCAGCACTTTGTGAGGTGAAGGCGGGTGGATCTCTTGAGCCCAGGAGTTCCAAACCAGCCTGGGCAGCATGGCAAAACCCTATCTCTACAAGAAATAGAAAAATTAGCCAGGTGTGATGGTGCACACCTGTAGTCCCAGCTACTCAGGAAGCTGAGGGGAGGATCACTTGCACCACAGAAGACTTTGTCTCTTAAAGTCTCGACCTCTTAAAGTTTTTTAAGAGGTCAAGGCTGTAGTGAGCCAAGATTGCACCACTGCGTTCCAGCCTAGGTGATAGAGTGAGACCCTGTCTCAAAAAAAAAAAGAAAATATATATATATATGTATATATATATAAAAAAACTTTAAAAATATATATATATTTATATATATTACTGGTAATATATATACATATTTTTTTTTTACTGGTAATAAACCCTTGTGTGTGTGTGTGTGAGTGTGTGTGTGTGTGTGTGTATTGCTAGCGGAGATAATCATCATCATATACTGTTTTATTCAGCATCTACCATAAGTTAAATCCTGCATATAAATATATATACACACTCATTAAATGTTTCCAAAGACAAAAAAGTAAAATGGCATCATCCCCACTTAAGAAAAACTGTGAGAAAATGATGCTTATAGAGAGACTGAGTCTCATAAACGGGCACAGAGCTCCATTGCTAAGATTCAGGCTGCCCTATTCAAAGCCTACATTCTTTCCTCAAGCTGCCCCGACCCCGATACGAACAATCCTTACAACCTGCCTGGCAGCTCTGAGTCTTCCCTTAAAGATGACGTCTGCAGGTGGCAGCAGGTGGAGGGCAGGTGTGAACAGAGGTTGCTTGGATGTATTTGGGCTCCAGTGTGGTCCACTACAAGCCACTCCCCAAAGGCACTTCAAAACAGAGTTGGGTCCCCTTCCACACGGGACTTCCTGGAGCCTGCCGCCATCTGGCCTCCCCAATCTTCCCTCGGGATGGTGGGACACACACAGCCGGCTGCTTCACTGCTTCTTCTCTTGATAATGCTCAGAGTCTTCTTCTGTCTTGAACACACTTCCTCTTTTCTTCGCCTTCCTCTCTATTTTCCCACCCTTCAAGACTCATCTCGCTGTCGCTTCCTCTAAGAAGTCTTCCTTCCTTCCCTTACCAGACTGGGTGACTTATTCCTAACACTGCTAGAATACAGTATTATCGCACACAATGTCAGTTGTGCTAGCTAGTGTATTACTTTTATCAGCATACATGTTAATCTTCTCTAGCAATGTGGAGACCCGAGTCAGGGCTGTATTTCATTTTGTATCTCAGTGCTTAGCCCAAAGCATGAGACAGAGCAGGATATTGGTCAAAGTGATGCTCCTGCCCAAGAAATGACCAGCAGTACTAGAAGTTTAGAAGGTAATGAAAGGCAAGGCTCATGTTTACTTATCCTTGAAGCCCTACTATCACCCACGTTAGCAGTCGCCTGGCACGGGAGTTTCCACAAATAACCACTAGGCAAATATTCTTTGCTTAAGTGCCTCTACGGACCTACCCAGGAGCTTGCCTGGCTCGCCCTCCTTCCAGGGTAGGAGAGTCCATTTGTGTCTCTGACAGCCTCGTTCACCCGCTACGCATGCTTTCCTGCTGACCGGACTGCCTGGTGGACACTGAGAAGCCTCTGGATACACACTCCCGTGCCCCGGGAAGCTCCTGTACGCCTGACGAGGCAGAAGAATGACGTCTAGTGGTCCTCGCTGGCTGTGTTCATCCATGAAGCACCGGAAGTGGGAGGGGTGTTTTCAGTGGGAAATGGTGCAGTAATTCAAAAATAACTGTCTAGAAAGAGTGCTCATCAATACACAAGAACTCTGGCAATCGCAACAGAATAAACAGCCATAGAACCACAGAGTAAATATTAAATATACCTCTTTATTATTGAGAATAAACTAATACAGCAGGAAAATGTTTTATAAATCTTCTAAAGTCTATGAAATTTTCAACCTTAAAAATGCTTTAAGAAGCTATCATGAACATTCCAAATAATATAGACAACAGGTACATCACAGTGTACAGCTCTTCAAAGGCATATTTTTAAATAACTCATCTAAAAAATAAACTCTGCCCCCCACCACCTGCCCCAGCTAGAATTACTATGATTTTACAGTAAGATATTTTGGAAAAATAATCTATTAAAACCAGGGCTCCAGTTCTGCCAACACCACACGACAGTTCTGTATCTGTCAGCATACACTCTCTTTAAATGGAAACATTTAACTTATCCCATCTACCAGTTCCCCCAAAGGCAGTTCATTTCCATGTCAATTCAAAGTTGATCAAATCAGTTGTGATATATTCATTTTCTGATTTGATTAATGAAAAACCTTTGAAGGAAGGAGGACAGCACTTGTTTTTCTAATTAACAGGTAAAGTACAAAAAGTTTCTTTTGTTAAACAGAAGTTCTACGGGATTACTTTCTCCCTGATTTAGCTCTGAACTAAAATTCATAACTACCTTTGTGGTAACACTCAAAGTTCATCTCCTGTAGGTGTTTGCTAAATTGCTTGCTTATAAACCCAGGGCCTCCGAAATATCCTGACATATTCTCTTCACCGACCTAGGGCACTCATTTCAGTTAACTACCCATTCAGTGCAACCCGGACCAAGCTCCTCCACTGCAGGCTCTGCCCCAGTTTAAATCCTGGACCCAGCATTCGTAAAACCTTAGGGAAGCTCTGAGCCTTCAATCACAGGCTGGCAGAGCAAGCCCGCCCTCTGGATTAGACACCCATGAAGCCTGTACCATCAATACGGAAGGCAATGAAACATGCCAGACAGAATAATTTCAGGTTCACACAGGAGGTGAGTTTCACACACTTAACACATCTTCCTTGCACACTTTGCGTGTGCAGGCACTTGGCTGGTTTATTCTTACAGTTAGACATGTACATTTCACATACATTTCAAGAAGGAACTTGGAAAGAAATTTCAGTTTCTAAAGTTGCTTTCTAGTCACAGGTGAGTGGTCTCTTGCCTATAGCATGAAAATATCGCTAGAAGACTTTTATGCAAGACAGCCAGAATATGGAATGCAAGGCTGTCTGTCACAGGTTACCCACAAAGCCTATATAATCAATACTTCTTGTGAAAGTACCTGCAGTTGACACTGACAGCCCCTTCTGTTGAAGGAGTCAGGTCCGACAAGGATGGACATGTGGGCGAGACCCTAACCCAGCCCAAGAGAATGCTCAGAAGGCAATCAGCACAGAGCGGAGGCAGATGACCAGGAGAAGCTCAAGAAGGCATGCCAGGGGTTCCAGGAAAAGAGCAGAGACATCTGAAAAGACATCGAGAGGGTGACCGAGAGGGTGACCAGGAGGGTGACCAGCAGGGGTTTGGGCTGCTGTGCACAGTGTGGAACTTGAGATGTAGGACATCTGTGTGGAGGGAGGAGCACGTTTGGAGGGTTGTGGCCCTGAAAGGACGGGTAGAACTGTCAGAAATTGGAAGAGAGAAAGAGTCCAGGCGGAATGAACTGCATGAGAAAAGGCAAAGAGCGATGAGGGGAAGGAAGGTGCTCTGCACAGCATCCATCTATCCAGTCACCTGTGAGGCCACTGTGACCACCTTCATTCTACAGATGTGCCGGCTCACAAAGCCCACACGGGACAGAGCTGAAATTCACAGAGCTGTGTGTGATTCCACAGCCAGAGCAACCTCTCTATGACAAGCACAGGCACTGCTCAGGGAGGAGAGCGCTGAACAGCAAGGGAGCAGGTGGAGGGATGGCTGGTAGCCCGATGGGGTGAGGTCCCTGGGGCTTTGATGGAGTGTTCCCGAATCCCTACAGAGGAGAGGTCTGGAGGAACAGCTGGGGCGGGGGATGGAGGAGGCTTATGCAAAGCTGCATTTCCACAGCATGGGTGCAGCATGGCTCACTTAGGTGTGTGTTCAGTTGAAGCAGTGCCATCGTTTGCTCTAATGCTGGCTAAATTTCCTTCTGCAGGCAACAGGTGGGAGTACAGTCTGGGTGGTACTTACGCCAGCTGCCAGGGCAGGGGTTCCTACAGTGGACAGAAACAAGGAGAGACTTGGGTGGGAAAACCACCACGACTAATAGACCACATCCCCAAAGCGCGTGAGGTCAGGAAAACAAGGAGGGCAGAAGAGGAGACTGAAAAGTAGAAACAGAAAACTATGTTCTGGGGGCTACCAGGGAGAAGGCATGCCGGCCAGCAAACGTGAGGAAGAAAAGCAGGGCAGAAAAGAACGTGGAGGCAAGCTCAGCACCACCGGAGCTAAGGGTGGGGAGCGGCAAGGCAAACGGCCAGTGTCTACTTTCAACTTAGCAGAAAACTCTCACTGAGAAAACAGTTCTCAAATCTGGGTTTAGAGAAGTAGAACCTGGCTAGACTTCTGAGATCACTGCTCTAGCTCTTACTTCACTTTGCCTTTTGGTATCAGTTCTGAAAAGAGAGCTCCTGCTTTATAAAGAAACTCGAAGCACTTCCTCAAGGCGACGTGACTTTAAACTACTTCATTCAGTTCAGCAAACACTAAGATCCTGCAGTGAGTCCATATCCACAGGGGGCCTGGAGATAGAGTGCCTGGTCTCTGTGCTCACGGGCCTCCTACGACAACAGGGACTGGGGGGAGCATGACGCAGCAGCAGGAGCCGTGAGGGGCTCATGAGGAGCGTCAGGAAAAGCCGTCAGCGTGTCCAGGAGGGCTGCAGAGCAGCTACGCGGTACTTAAGGGTGCGGAGAGGGTCAGGCCCGGGCTTTACAAAGACATCGTATTGTTTGTATGCTATATGTTAATAAGCTTTTATTTTATTCTTTGAGTCTCGCTCTGTCGCTCAGGCTGGAGTACAGTGGCGCGATCTCAGCTCACTGCAACCTCTGCCTCTCAAGTTCAAGCGATTCTCCTGCCTTAGCCTCCCGAGTAGCTGGGACTACAGGTGCCCGCCACAACAGTGGGCAGTAAAGGAGTGAGACCCTGAGTAGGGAGAGAGGTGAAAGGAGAAAGCTCAGGCACGGGAGCACTGGCAATGCCATAAAGATTGGAAACGTCCTCTGACTGTGCAGGGGGAGGTCCCTGGTGACTGTCCCCTAACCAGCCTGGCAGAAGTGGAAGCGGACTGCAATGGGGACTGATTGTTTCTGGAACATGTAGCCCCTGCCCGGTGCCTGAGGTAAGGAATATGGCCTAACCATGAAAAGACAAAAAGAAGAAAGGGATTATTTTCCTACACCCATACAATTCAAGCATCTCTGCAGGAAAAAAAAAAAATCCAACACATACCAAAAGCAATTTTTCTCTAATAAAGAACATAATTTGCACAGAATGAGTTGATAAGATGGCCAATTGCACATGGAAAAGTGCTGACTTCAAGTTACGCAGTTGTCTTAGTCATCTTGACCCAGGAAGTCTCAACCTTTAAGGAAGCTCCACTCCGCTGCAGTCTCCACAGCCAGAATCGAGTCCCCAGTATGTCCCCCTCTTCCCTGGGTGCCAGCCCCTGCAGAATGCCTGCAGCCATCCCCCAGGCTGAGAAATCCTTGCCTGAGGCTACATTTCCAGCTGTACTGAGATAAAGAAGCCTCATGGGTCAGGACATCATCTTGTCTGAGGTTCTCACTCAAACCAACGTGTGGCTAATTAAGGCACTATAGACTCACTGAGTTTTACCATAGGATTAAAATAATGATAGCATACATGTGTTTTCACCAAGTAAATCAGATTTTAGGAAAGCTTTCATAGCGGTAACTATTGAAAATATACAAGAAGTAACTGATGACTTAGCCCATAAGAAGTTAACCAGTTTGTCCCTCGATTCCTGTGCAGCACTCACCTTGACATGTTTTTAACTACTAGAAATAAGCAAGCTTGTTCTTACATGTGAAGTTGATGGATGCTAACTTCCCTAAGGATTCCGGAACTTGAAGACCATTTAGTTATCTGGTCCTTCTTCACTGCCGCCTGAGAAGACTTGTGGAGGCTGCACTGCGGAGAAGCAGCTTCGCCCTCCTGGTAGCTTCCGGAGCTGCAGCGGGTTCACCAACCCGGGTGGGAGGCCAAGTCCTCAGCTCCGCCAGGCGCTTCTCGGACACAACCAGAGGCCCCGTGCCAACTTCAACTACGTATCCTGACAGTCCTGTCAGTGTGACTGAACGTGTCTAGCTTGGTGGCATACAACCAAACAAGTAGAAATTCACAGCTAGTTGCACTGTCTCAGGACAAGCTCTAGCCCTTGAATTAGACAAACGCTGGGGTGGACGGGTGCTGGAGGAAATCTCTTTCTTCATTCACATCTGCTCAGAGAAGACCAGCCTCAAACCCAAAGGCCCAAACTAGTTTGAAAACTTTTACTGCATCCTTTCTAAAAAGTCCTCAAAGTAGGACTCATGTAGCAACTTACAGAAGGAAATCAGAAAGTCTGCACGGGCAACATTCACCAAGGAGCAGGTAACTCACCAACTGCAGCTGGCAAGCAGGGTAGTCCAGAGCCCGAAACAAAAAATCTATAGAACTGCTAATAGCACAGGTAAATTAGATTTGTTGACCATACAAAAACAAGACAACACCCCAAGTCAGCTACATTTCTAAAAAGACAAAGGATGTACTACTCTACACAGGCAGTTCAGGTTGTACCTGCACTGGTAATAAAGAGATAAGGGCAAAGCATAGAAGTGAAATCAACACAGGCTTAGGGAAAACTGACAATTCCGTCACTTGGAAGTTGGTATCAGAAGACAACTGGCCAGGCCGGTCACAGGGGCTCATACCTGTAATCCCAGCGCTTTGGGAGGCCAACGAAGGCGGAACGCTTGAGACCAAGAGTTCAAGGCCAGTCTGGGTGACATAGCAAGACCCCATCTCTGCAAAAACATTTAAAAATTAGCCAGGCATGGAGGTGTGCATCTGTATTCCCAGCTACTTTGGAGACTGAGGCGGAAGGACTGCTTGAGCCCTGGAGTTCAAGGCTGCAGTGAGCCATGATTGCACTACTGCATTCCACCGTGGGTGGCCAGGCAGGAGTCTGTCTCAAAAATTAAAGACAACTTGCCAGACCCAGTCTGACTCCAAATGCTGAGGTCCATACTCCTGCAGAACAGAGATTGCCACAGGCCCCCAAGTTCAAAATGACCCTGGCATAAAATCAAATCAATGTGTTCACTCTAACCTTTACTCAATATTATCTGCAAAAAAAAAAAAAAAAAAAAGGAAATTCAAAGTATTTGTGACAATGAAACCAGGGCAAAATGGAAAGCTGAGCCCAAAAGTTAATCTCTCCTGAAGGCTCTCTTCAAATAATAATATTTTAAAAGCCCGGCCGGGTGTGGTGGCTCATGTCTGTAATCCCAGCACTTTGGGAGGTCGAGGTGGGTGGATCACCTGAGGTCAGGAGTTTGAGACAAGCCTGGCCAACATGATGAAACCCTGTCTCTACTAAAAAATAAAAATAAAAATAAATACAAAAAAATTAGGCCAATGTGGTGGCACATGCCTGTCATCCCAGCTATTTGGGAGGCTGAGGTAGGAGAATTGCTTGAACCTGGGAAGTGGACGTTGCAGTGTGCTGAGATCACGCCATTGCACTCCAGCCTGGGCAACAAGAGTCAAACTCCGTCTCAAAAGAAAAAAAAAAAGCCCAAAGGGCAGAGAGAATGGAAAGGTCACTAGCTGATGTGTGAGTCTGACAAATTTATAAAAGCTGAAAGCCAGAAGTGAGCCGGTGGATGAGGAAGGAGCTGTCGAGGAGAGGGCTACTTCCCTAGCAGGACCGGCTCAGTCTGAACCCGCAGATGGAGCAGCAGAACCATGGCACGTGGCTAGAGACAGCCTAAGTAGAGGTCTATGAGGACACGGTCCACCCGACCCCTGCAGGCAGGTCTGTCCCTCACCATGGCTCTTCTCTTGGAAGAAACCGTCTAGAGCGAACCCAGGCATCCACCAGCCTGGCCATTGGCCTCTAGAGCACACCTTCCCTCGGTTAGCAATTAGGGGTTCCCAGCACTATGACTGGTTTTCTACCCATTCACCCCAAACTCAAGCCTATTTCACAAGCCCCACTCACGTACATGGAACTATAGCTGATTTTCTACTTCCTCGTAAGAATATGGCTGGACAACCAGGAATCATTAGATATGTGAGGAAAACTATGGCTTAAAAAATAAAGAACAAAGAAAAAGTGAATAAAAATACAACTTTCAAAAGCTCTGACCTCCTTCCAAAGTCAATATATTGAATCCGTAAGGCCGCCAAGAACAGTTGCTATGAAAAAGGAACAAATAAAGACGAAAGCTTTTGTTCACACACACACGGTGACCAAGTGAAAAGAGAAAGTTGATTCCACTAGTGTAAGCACCTGAAGGGCAAGAATTTGTCTGTTTTGCTCACTGCTTTATCTCAAGAACCTACAGCTGTGCTTGGCAAATCACAGGTAATAAAAAACCCAGGGAGGGAAGATAAATTTGAGAGTAAATAAAGACGGAAAATAAAAGAACTAGATGGAGCAGATATGAATCTAGGAGGTCCCAAAGGTGGTAACAGGAGCTCTGGAAGGAGAAAACGGAAGCGATCGAATAATTTCTAAAATACATATTCTAGAGCTGAAGAGGCAGGAGTCTTCGTTGGAAGCCTCTGCTGACTGCGAAGCAGGATGAATCACAAGAGAGCCACACTTAGATCCACACAATCCTGTCTGTTATGTCAAGTCCTTACTGGAAAGGTCTGAGGTTGCAAATCAAGAAATAATGGCATAAGATGATTATTTAGAAATACAGGAGTACCCAATGAATGATCTGAGAGTAGGAAGGGTTAGAGGTGAGCTCTGAAGCTGGAGACCTCCATCGCAAGAGCTTCTGGGCCACTGGACTTGAAAGCCCGTGCAGTTAGAATTTTGATAAAATAATTTTAATAAACTTTTTAAATGAAAATATCAAGATCAAGTTTACTGCTATAACATTAACATATTAGTACTTTTCAAACACTGTTAAGCTACTATGATCTTTATTAGAAAGTAGCTTTTAGGCCAGGCATGGTGGCTCACGCCTGTAATCCCATCACTCTGGAAGGCCGAGGTGGGTGGATCACAAGGTCAGGAGATCAAGACCATCCTAGCCAACATGGTGAAACCCTGTCTCTAGTAAAAATACAAAAATTAGCTGGGTGTGGTGGTGCACACCTGTAGTCTCAGCTACTCAGGAAGTTGAGGCAGGAGAATCGCTTGAACCTGGGAGGCAGAGGTTGCAGTGAGCCAAGATGGCGCCATTGCGCTCCAGCCTGGGTGACAGGGAGAGACTCCATCTCAAAAATGAATACATAAATAAATAAATAAAGTAGCTTATAGACCAACAGAGGTGACTTTCATATTTCAATTGTCATTTAAATTATATGCCACAGTTGACCTAACCTAAAAGGCACATTTTCTCCTGCATTTTTATGTCATTGAAATCAGGATGAATTCATTGAATTGGCAGGGTTGTTAGTGATACATATTATGTTTATCTTATAATCAGTGATGTCTTAGATTTAATTAAAAAGGGCACTTGTAGAAAATTATGTCAAGATACTTTTCCCCACATTACTTGATGGAATCATAGATTGTTACATCTATTTCTAATTCTCTGCTCCTCCTTCCTTGTACGCCAGCCGTATACTGGTGGTTGGGTTTCTTCCCGAACACTTCAGGGTCCTGGGACTGTCTCTTAGTCCAGCTGTCTCCTAGTCTGGAAAGCTCCTGTATCCAGCCCACCTGTTCCTCACAGTGCTGGCTCCTTCTGGTCACCAAGTCTCAGTTTACACATCAGTCCCTCGGAAAAGCCTGTTGGCCACCCAATCTAAACAAGCTGTGTGCTCTAGAGACATTTTCTGTCCTATTACCCAGATTTTCATCAAAGCAGTTATCCTGGTGTCTTCATTTCTCCTTCCTTACTAAAACTTAAGCTCCAGGAGAGTGAAGATCTTGCCTGTCGAGTTCAACACCACATCCCCAGCACCTAGAATGGAGCCCAACACCAAGAAGGTGCTCCAATAATTCTAAAATAAACACGTTTAAAACCAGTGCTAAGCTATGGATATAGTATCTAAACATTTAGTGAGTGTGTTTCAAATTAATAAGCAGCACGGCTTCATTATTTTCCAATGGCTAAGAATCGCATATGTACAAGTTATTTTGTTAGAAGATCCACTTCTGATGGCTATCCAATTAAATATAATTTTAGAAATATGCTAATAGACTATATCAAGTATAATTTCTATAGCATGAAACAACTTATAATACCTTTAATTCATTTGCACATATTCCAAATTTACCTAGTTTTTCGCTCTGTCGCCTAGGCTGGAGTACAGTGGCTTGATCTCGGCTCACTACAACCTCCTTCTCCGGGGTTCAAGCGATTCTCCTGCCTTAGCCTCATGAGTAGCTGGGATTACAGGCACACGCCACGATGCCCGATTAATTTTTGTATTTGTAGTAGAGGCGGGGTTTCACCATATTGGCCAGGCTGGTCTTGAACTCCTGACCTCAGGTGATCTGCCCACCTCAGCCTCCCAAAGTGCTGGGACTTCAGGCATGAGTCACTGCGCCCGGCTCAAATTTACCTACTCTTGACCAGAACTGATATCAAATAGATGGCAAGCTAGGATAAAAAAAAAAACCTTGTTGCAAAAATTCAAGAATGTCATTACCCACAACTTTTTTTTTGAGACGGAGTTTCACTCTTGTTACCCAGGCTGGAGTGCAATGGCGCGATCTCGGCTCACCGCAACCTCCGCCTCCCAGGTTCAGGCAATTCTCCTGCCTCAGCCTCCCGAGTAGCTGGGATTACAGGCATGCGCCACCATGCCCAGCTAATTTTTTGTACAACTTTTTAAATTTTAAGAAGAGATGGAGGAGATATAAATTTAAAATGACTGTTGATACTTATTTTATTTCCCACAGCTCAAGTATTAATTGAAGTAGTTTATCCTGAAAGATAAACCTGGCAAGAACAATAATGAATAACTGGTCATTCCTTCAATACTTGTATTCACATGTGTGACGAAAGGATAAAATAACAAGGCTGAAATCCCAAGAAAGTCTATTTGTCTGCTTTGTTTTTTATTCAAAAAAAGCCCACGATCCTTTGGGAGGTGATACAGGATTGTTTTCCAGTCAGATCATAATTTCTACAATCTCTGTGATAATCATAAATTCAAAAAGTTCCCGCTCTCCACAGCCCAATTCACTTTTGGCACCTATATATGAAATGTCACTTCTCAAAAATGGGAAAAAATGTGAATACTGGGCTTTTACCACAGTGCTCCTTTCCTGATGAGTATCTTTCTGCTTGCTAACTTTAGAATACTGATACAAAAGATGAACAATATCCCATCAGTGAAAATCTTTTTCTAACTATCTGGCCATCTTAGAAAATAATTATATTAGAAACAGCAGTCAATTCTCAGAGGCAAAGGGGCAACAGCTTATTTCTCTCCACTTCTAACTTTAAATTGAGAATTACAGAGCAATTCCATGAGAGGTAGCAGAAGGTCTGGCATAGGCTCTGGCTTCACGATTTTAGAATACCACTTTAATTCATCACGTCTTTGGAAAGAGTGTGTGTGACACTTAAGAGGCTCACTAGACCTCTGAGTGCAGTGACGCTAATCAGAAAGGCACGTGCTTTCACCATTAGTGGAGAGGGAGGGGCCTAACCATAGGATGCCAATTAGGAGAGGACTTAGAAAAAGAACTTAAAAATATCTACATGAGTGGAAATGTGTGTCGTTTATAATGTACACTATTCTTGAGTCTTCACTTGGCCTGCCAAAAAAAAAGTTCCTACATAAAAATCAGGATGTTTACAGGAGAAAAATAACCAACACAGACTATAATTGGCCAGTATTTAAATAAGAGGAAAACAACTCACAACTTTCACTTTTCATATGTGAGGAGGAGTCAGAAGCTTAGTAGTGATCTATTTGGTGCAATTCAAATTAATTTTTTTAGCTCTGTTTCAGACCCACAGGGTACTGCCAAGAAACTTATCCAAAAACTTGATGGATTTTTCCATGTCCTTGGGGCTGAATGGATTTTTCTCACTTCTACTACTAAATTGATAAAAGTGGGAGGGCATCTTACTCCACTCCTTCCTCCAAAACCTACTACAACACCTGTAGTTCAAACGTTCTCTTTGTAGTTAACACCTGTTTCCTACCTGTGGCACTTTATACATCGTGAAGCTTTTGGGAAGGAAGAAGGGAGGGAGGAAAAAACCCACAACCTCCTGACAAAGCAGCAGTTCCACTGCATGGGCTTATTTCTCCTGCCAGCCACTGAGTCACAAATATTTTTCTCCATTTCAAGAAGTCTGAGTGAATGAAGCTGGGGAGAGCGGGAAGCACAGGCAAGAAGTCAACCACAGCCTTCTCTTTACCAACCCAGCCCTGTGTCTTTAGGGGCAACTGGCTTCATCCGTCACCTTGACATTCATAGTAAGCAACATCTTTCTTTAAAACTTTTCTTGTTCTTGCTGCTTTTCTTGCCATTCTTGTCTTTGTTTTCTGACATCTTCTTTGCTCTGATTTCTCTCATTAGGTCAAAGAACACCTGGGGAATGGGGAGGAAGGAGTAAAAAGAACAGTGAAGAAAAAGCCATTTAATGATTTTGTTGTTGTTAACCTGACACCGGGAACATAGAATTTAAGGATTCAATGAGATAATCTGACTAAGCCAGATATGTATATTTTAAAGCATAAAGTCAAACTTATTTTTGTAAACCAGATGTTAACAAAAACAAAAGATCTGGGGCAAATAAGAAAAATTAACCTTAAAAACATGCTAATTATACAAAGTAAACATCTCTCATACAACTGCTTTGTATCACACAACTGCTCAAGCCAGGGACAGAATCGTCATACTGTTACTACCGTGCACCAGCTGCTTTTTTTTTTTTTTTTTTTTTTTTAGATTCAGACAGGGTCTCTCTATGTTGCCCAGACCGGTCTTGAACTCCTGAGCTCAAGCAATCCGCCCATCTCGGCCTCCTAAAGTGCTGGGATTATAGGCGTGAGCCACTGCACCCGGCCTAACAGCTGCTTTCAAAATGATAAAATCTTTTCTTACAGTAAGTGTGATGAAGGATAAAACGTGTTTTTGTATAGAACAGATCTATAAATGTACACAGTTTACAAATATTGAGAGTCACAACAGCAAGCAGACTTGCTGGCACGTCCAACCACCAGGAAAGGGAAGAATGCCATGATAAGTCCCTGCTCCTAGGTACGCTTTACACTTCTGCATCTCATTTCATCTTACACAGACCCCACGGTGGGTGGAACCTCATTCTGCATGACAGCTTTCCCAGTGACCTCCACAACAGCAGCCCTGGGGAGGTGGCAGGGTGGGGGGAGGAGGAGGGCATAAAGCATCAACAACGAAAGCTCAGAGGATGAGTGATGTCCTTCTGGCCACCCTATCCCTCCCCACGCACACTCCCCAACCCCTATTCTCAGGAACAGCCACTCCTCCATCCCTTGTGATGTCAGCTGAGAGGAACTTTATCAAAGAACTGACTGAGACTTGTCCTTTGAAGGTCAGTGTGTTATTTAGATACGGATTATCCTTTTGTCACAGTAGTTTGGGTTTTGCCCTCTGCTACCAGCAATCACGCCAGAGGACTGATTATACCCAAGCAGACAAAATATGAATCTTATGAAGAGCCATTTGAGATTTCTCATAGAGAATGATGGAGACTGACAGTAGGCGACTGAGCACAAGCCTTTGTCTTTGGACATTCACACAATACCACAAGCTCCTTCATGGCCACACCTTCTTCCTGGTGAAAAGCAAGACCAGGCCTCTGGAGTGTGGGGCTCCACATGCATTTACCACCAGCTCCAGGCACAAAAAAGCACCCCCAACCTCAGGCCCCAGCTGGATCAGGCTAACCCAAACACCCCTTCCCACCAGCCTCTCTAGAAAGAGCGATGCCCGTGACAGCAACAGTGAACAGCTTCAAATGCTACGGGTTTTCTTTTTTTTTTTTTTCTTTTTCTTTTTTTTTCTGTCCTGACAGCACAAGATGAGAGGAGGGGAATGGAGTGCCTACAACTTAAAATGATGACAAAGATGTTCACGGGCTGATCTTATCACACCTTTCACGTAAATTCTTTACAAATGAACACAATGCTGCCAGTCATAAGTTTCTGCTGGTTCCCGTTTGGCAGGTCAAGCTGGTCCAGCAGACGAGGGGGGAAGACAACACCCCTCCCCACCACAACCAATCCAAGAAACGCGCATCTGCAGTTCCAATTAAAAATGAGGCATATTTCTGGATTTCCTGTGTGGTTTCCACAGCTGGAAAATAATTTGATAAAAATATTTTAAGTAGCACAGGAACATAAGAGCGTAAGCATTGAGAGATGACAACATAAAGAAAAGCTGACAACAGAACGCACGCTTCACATGGCAGATGATAACTAAACGGACTTCGGCTGTAGAATATATATACCCCATATGTATATCTATCCCACATATGTATGTCGCCTGGGATATATGTTTTTATGTACGATACATACAAATAGATGTATATTGCCAAAGTGCATCTAAAGCAAACTCCTTCTAATACCAACATTCTAAATACCAATGTTCTTCTAGCATCATTTCCAGTGAAAATAAAGCTTGGATAAAAATCTCTCCCTTGTCAGATAATGAAGCAAACGGGAATTGTTTCTGCACAAGAAAGAGAAACAGAAGGCGGGGTCTGGGGGATTCAGATGCTGATGCTGCAGAACTAAAAGCAGACGTGTCCACTGTGTGGCTGCCAACGTGCTATGTGCTGAGCTTCTGCAAGCGCACGGATGTGAAGTGAGAGCTAGTGAACGAGGTCAACGCAGAAGGAAAGTCTCATCTTGAAGGCATCGCTTTAAGATTTTAGCTGTGTGGTAACCACCTTGAACCTTAATTTTAAAAAGGCAAAAGGCCTGACAATAGCAAGCCCTGACGGTGGATTTTCAAATTGTCAGCATTCATCATTGTCACTCAAAGTCACCCTTTTATTAGTTTCAGAGATGTGAATGAGAAAGTATGCTGGGATGAGATAAGAGAAAAATAAAAAAGAGAGACCCAGGTGGCGCGCGCCTGTAGTCCCAGCTACTCGAGAGGCTGAGGCAGGAGAATTGCCTGAACCCAGGAGGCGGAGGTTGCGGTGAGCCGAGATCGCGCCATTGCACTCCAGCCTGGGTAACAAGAGTGAAACTCCGTCTCAAAAAAAAAAAAAAAGAGAGACCCAGACAGTTGATTTCTGAGAGGAAATACTATTTAGACACTACAC